AAACATGCCTAATTGCCACCCGTAATTTTCTTCACTAGCTTGTTTTTCGTCGCATGGTTCTTTGATTTGATTGAAATCATTCTGTTATATCTAGACTTACATCTGCTCCACGTTCCTGGTTACCATGGCAAACAATCATCAAACTGGGAATCTTAAATTGGGGCACTAAAGCAGCAATTCTATAGACACCTTGGGAAATGACATGCGAGACTCTTTACTGACAAAAAGAGGGAGAATTATGTGGAAGTGTATCAGAGCAGCAATCTTGTGGGCTGTTTGGGAAGAAAGGAACACCAGAATCTTTTCTGAAAAGGAAAGAAGCGTATCAGACGTTAAGGACTATGTTTTGCCAAGGGCAATTCAGTGGCTGAAAACTTCAAACCTGTTTGATAGCTATTCCTTTGATGACCTTTGGAGAAGTTGGTTAGCAGAGGCTAATACTTCTACAAGGAAGAACAGACTTTTGGTACAATGGATACCTGGGGAGTAGTTTTTTAAGCTGAATTTCGATGGGAGTAGCAGAGGTAGCCCTGGACCTTTGGGTATAGGAGTTCTGAGAAATAAAGGTAGCATTATCATATCCTTATATTCAGGTCCTGTGGGTCTGGGAGATTCTATAAGGGCTGAATTGCTTGCTGCTGTACAAGGAATCCAGCTTGCAAACCAGCTAGGAGTAGAGCATTTGCTTATTGAAGGGACTCTTTGGTGGTGTGATGGGATGGTTGCTGAATCCGGACTCTGATTTGGGGCTATAGAAATCTCCTTAAAAAAGTCAAATGGCTGACGGGAAATATGACAATTAGAGTCCAGTGGGTAGGAAGATCAGCAAACTCGATGACTGATTCACTTGCTAAACAGGGGGTCTCTCGGGATTCTTTATTTTGAGCTACCTTTTTATTATGCTCAACTGATTTTCTAATGCTGTGATCAATCATAAAGGAAAGGTCGCATCTTGTGCCTCTCCTTGGGTTGCCTGTAACTCTTATTTACTGGATTAATAAAATGCTTACTCATTTATCAAGAAAAAAAAAAGAAAAGAATCTTTACAGACAAAAGCTTATCTAAAGAAACAATGAGTGAAACTATTATGGTGAGGGTGGTACATTGGGCAATATCTAGGCCTATTTTTGATCACTAATCCACTGATGGCATCATAGGAAATTGGCAAATTATTGTTGATACATTACATTTAGGTAACTGATGATTAAACTTCAGTCACCTCCTAGACACACCTTCATTAATATGAACTTTGATGTTGAAGGTTGGGCAATCGTGGAAATTCAGGAATTGGGGGAGTTTTTGGGAGATGTTATTTTTTTTATCAGAAACACGGAATTGATTTCATTAATAAAAACAGGCATTGATACAACAAGAGGTTGTGAAAAGTTATAAAAACACAGCTATAGGAAAGCTGACTCAACCTAGATATTACAATTGAGCCCAATACAATTGAGTTCTTTGTACCCCTTGCTTAGCTAAACCATCTTCCAAGCTGTTGGCAGTTCTTCTCACCCACTTAACTCTGATTGTCATATCCTTTGATAACCATTTAAATCGCCTGAAATCATTCCTTAGGTGCCATACCCTCTCCCCTTTCTTCAGCCATTTCACAACAGTTCTCGGATCACCCTCAATGACTAGGCTATCAATGCCAACTCCTTTGCCTTCTCGACCCCGTATACTGCAGCTAATAGTTCTGCTCTTGCCATATCACCTTGTTCAGCAGGCCTGGAGTATAAGGCTACAATGTTTCCTTCCTCATCCCTAATTACCCCCCAATGCCTGAGGAACCTGGATTACCCAAACAACTCCCATAAATTCAGTTTCTTCCAGCTGCATAATGGGTATGATCACGTCTCAGCGGGTTTCTGTCTTCTAGACGATGAAGCAGCAATAAAAGCCCATGCCCTAAAAAAATCTTCAACCTTAAAGTCTGAAAACAGTTTCAAACATTTTTCCCATTGTGCCACTCTTAAGGTTATTATTTCTAGCAAGGCTTCCTTGCTCCTTTCTCTTTCCTTAAATATTCTTGAATTTCTTTCGAGGGATACTCAGAAGTGGTGTTGGTTTTTCTGGAATAACAACACACTGGGGATTTGGAAATATGGAATTCTTATTAGGGAAGATAGAAAACTGGCTGTGGAAATGATTGCAACTTTTTTTTTTTTTTTTTTGAAGAGTCAGAATAAAAGATTTCATTAAAATAAAAAAAGATTCGTACAACCCAGGGGGTGTTATGATAACACCCAGCCACATCCTAGCACAAATGCCGATTACATTACAATAGATAAATCAAGAGATAAAGAACTGGTCAAAATAACAAGTCTGTAACTCAAGAAAATTCCAAAAATTCTCCTCTAACTCTGTTCTGCTAGTCTGAAGGAAGTCTGGATGCACCAGAATCCAATCTGACACCAAATTCACAATCAAGACTAAAAGACCTCCAATGTTCTGTTTGTTCTCAAATAATCTTCTATTTCTCTCATTCCGTAAGACCCAATAGACTGCAAAAGGGTTGCAGCTCCACACGATCTTTGCTTTCTTGCTTCCATTAAATCTTGGCTAAGAGGAGAAAAACTCTGTTGTAGTCGAAGGCTGAAATAAGTTCATCCCAAATAGAAAATAGAAAAAACTCCATATGATATGAGCCATCTTGCACGTGTAGAACAGGTGGGAAACTGTTTCCTCATCTGAACAGCAAAGATAACAAAAAGTTGCCACGCGAAAACCTCTATTCTTCAGGTGGTCTGAGGTTAAGATGCTGTCCAACGACACTAACCATGCAAAAGCTTCCACTCTAGGGGGGGGGGGATAGGATTCCCCCACACTCCTTCCACCTGATCGATCAGCAATCGTCTGCTCCCTTATCAGTGCCATGTAAAAGGATTTCACAGTAAAAATTCCATTTTTGCATTCTTTCCACCATAGTCCTCTATCAGAAGCAGAAGTTTCAGTCTGTTGCAGATTTTCTAACAGCAGTAGACATTCTTCAATTTCCTGATCTCTCAATGGCCTCCTAAACTTTGGGCTCCGCATTCATTGATCTCTCCTCATCTCAAAACATTGATCCACCTAACCTGCTACTCAGAGAGCCTGTAAAGTCTTGGACATACCTCCCTCAGCTTCCCAAGCCCACACCATTCATCTTCCCAGAATCTCACTCTTGACCCCTCCCCCACCTTAAAACTGACCAAAGCTTTGAACTCTCTATTAATTTTTTTTTGATAAATAACTCTCTATTAAAATTCATTATCCCCTTCCACATACTCACCCCATAGGAATTCGAAACTTCCCTTGATTCCCATCCAAACCTCACTACCCCATATTTCCCGACTACCACCCTCCTCCATGAAGAATCCTTTTCTCTATCCAGCCCAAACTTCCATAGCCACTTACCAGAAAAAAGCCCTATTAAACTTTCTCACCCTTCTAAACCCCAGTCCCCCTTTTCCTTTTGGTGTACAAACCTTATCCCAATTCACCAAATGGAACTTGTTTTGACCCCCAACTCCTTCCCAAAGGAAATCTCTCTGAAGTATTTCAATCTTTTCGGCCACCTTCCTTGGAATATTTAGGAGCAACAAATAATATATTGGTAAGCTTGAAGAGAGTTATTCTACCCCCAAAGGACAAGTATTTTGCTTTCCACTTCTCTAGTCTTCTTTCCACCCTTTCTAGCACTGGCCTCCATACCTCTGCTTCAGAAATCTTGGTTCCCATCGGGAGACCCAAATAGTTGAAAGGTAACTCCCCTAACCGGCACTCCAACACTGTAGAACATTGATCCAGCACCTCCCTCTCTACTTCCCCTACTTCAATTAGAAGACTCTTGGATAGATTAATTTTCAGACCTGTTAAACTCTCAAAATTTGCCAATATGGCCCTTAAACTCAGCACCTGGTCCATTGAGGCATCTATAAAAAAGAGAGTGTCATCCGCGTACTGCAAATGGGAGATGCAGGCCCCCTCCAAACCTACTCTAAATCCTTCAATCCAACCCAGTTGAACACCCTTCACCATAAGTAAGTTTAGCACCTCCATAACCAGAACAAAAAGCAAATGGGAAATTGGATTTCCCTGTCGTAAGCCTCTAGATGCCTGAAAGAATTCTGATGGAACTCCATTAAGAAGAAGAGAAAAGGACACTTAAGATACACAAGCATACACCCAACTCCTCCATTTCTCCCCAAAGCCCATCAAATGCTGCCTCTCCTCCAGGAAACCCCATTCCACGTGGTCATACGCCTTCTCAATGTCAATAAACCAGACTGGCCTCCCGCTTGTCGGCCTAGAGCCAATACATTCACTAGCCACCAGCACCCTATTTAGAATTTGCCTCCCTTGCACGAAGGCCATCTCTGTTTCACCCACTATTTCATGCTGAACTGATTTCAGCCTCTGTGATAGCACCTTAGCCAGAAGCTTATGAGGGCTGCTTATTAAGCTGATAGGTCTGAAATCTTTAATATTCACAGCCGCATCCTTCTTTTGAATCAAAGAGATAAAGCTGGCATTCAGCCTTTTGTCCAGATTTTTTGTGTTGCAGAATTCCTTGATCATTTGAACAAAATCCTTCTCCAAGAAACTCCAGCCAGCCTTAATGGAACTAAAGTTAAACCCATCAGGCCCCAGAGCTTTGTCTCCTTCAATCCTTTTCAAAGCTTCTCTGATCTCCCCAATCTCTATTTCCCTTTCCAGCCAAACTGCTGAGTTATCATTCAACTTTCTATTGCTGGGCTCCAATAGCATGTCCTTGTCAAGACAAGGGGTTAATTGGGAACAATTGTTTAGGGGAGTTGTTTACTTGGAGAACTATTTGTAAAAAGCAAAGAATACAATACAAGTGGTAGGTAGCAAGGATTACCAACAAAATAGGTGCCTGGCACAATTGTTCATCTATACCATTCTTTCAAACTATTTAATAAAATTCATGATTTTTGCTTGATGGCTTTTTATTTATTTTTACTTGTTTTATTGTTCTTTTTCCCTCCTTGGATCAGATATTTGTTTTCTTTCCGGAGGAGCAAAAGGTTGGTGTTAAAACTATGAAGACCTACACCAACAGGATGAAATCAGAGAATGTTTTCAGAGCAATATTAGTTGTTCAGCAGAACTTGACTGCCTTTGCCAAGACATGTATTAACGAAATAGCTGCTAAGTTTCATTTGGAAGTTTTTCAGGTATTGTATCTTTCTACGAAATTATACAGATGAAATTGGTACTGAACTGCTAATGAAGTCTGGTTAACTTTGCATTATTGATTATTCTATGGGGATGAATCTTAAGAACTATAGTAGTGACATTGTAACAATATATGTAGATGCAAGCACTTGTTTCTCTCCTTGATGATCAGGCCATGTAATCCTTATTGTGTAGCTGATCTAATATCAGATTAATTTGGGAAATCAGGTGCAAAAATTGATGGTTCAGAAAAAGGACAAGGCTGATAAAAAAAAAAGAAAAGGAAAAGTTTTGCATTTGCATCACACACATTGGCTATTATAGTCTGTGCAGCCTGTTAATGGGTACCTGCTTGTTATTTATTTGTTTAAGAAAGGGAAATGAAACCAACAAAGTACGACTTTGTATTGATCTCAAAAAAAGAAAAGTACGACACTTTGTAATGGTTAGTATGTGATTACAATGTAGTAGTGATGGCTGTGCACATTGACAACTTTTCTGTAGGAGGCAGAGCTCTTGGTCAACATTAAAGAGCATGTTCTTGTACCTGAGCATCAAGTGCTGACGAGTGAAGAAAAGAAGACTTTGCTCGAACGGTATACTTTAAAAGAAACACAGGTTAGTTTTATGGAATTGTGGTATTTAATCTTTAATAGAAAGTGAGTGATTGTTATCTTCTTTTTTTGATGAATAAGTGATATCTTCTTTATTGCATCGGCTGTAAGGTTACAATTTTCTAGGACAACCCTCCCAATGTCCATATGTGAATATTTGGGTGGATAAAAATATCATTTAATAGGAATAATTATTGCAATCCTAGAAGTAGGGGTAAGCGTTTTAGTCCATTGTACACATAGTAGGGGAGTAGGGGATTCATCTTTTCTGAAAGTTGTTTTTTTTTCTTCTTTAGGAAGAAATTATTATATGTTTAATTTCGTTCCCTCCTGTTTCATTTAACATTAAAGTGCTAAGGAGTTCCTTCAAAAAGCTTATCCACATGCACCCTTTCTAGACAAATAATGGGATAAGACCAAGGTTCAAAGTATCGATACACCCTAATACACTGGAAGGGGTGTATTGATACTTTGAGCCTTGCATTTACTTTTTTTTTTCATAATTTCAAGGGGGGCATTTTTGTGTTATTTAATTAAAAAAATGGTTTCTAAACGTTGGGCAAAAGATATGATAATATACCTGATGCAGGGTGTATAGTATTGATACTTCGAACCTTGGATGATTCTAAGAAATTTGCTGTAAATCTCTGCATTAAAAAATTATTGCAGAATATTCGTATAAAAAAAATATAGAACTGATTAGGAAAGAGAAAAAAAAAGAAAGGAAAACCACATAACATGCTTGTAACTTGAGATTTTGATATTAATATTCAATACGTCTCTGGAGGAAATGGAGACAAATAGTGACCAAGAACTCCTTTCTGAAGAATTCTTTATCAAATAAATCCACCCAACTTTTATTTTCCTCTTTGATATTCTGTTTGCATTTTAATTTTCTGTTGTATGTTATATGTATTTTCTTGCAGCTTGAGCTTGATAGATTAAGCTCCTGTTAGAGAATTCCATTCATGTTCCTTGAAGTACTTTCAAGCAGCCATTACACAATTAGTTAATGATAGGATCTGCATTGTAACTACTTCTTTACTCTAAATATTTGTATCGGCAATAGGAGTGGAGTCCTGTGTAGGCAGTTGATAAATAATCATCCAATGTTTATCCATTTCTATTGTGTTGCGCTAATGCTATGCTGCTATATACTTCGGATGACTTGGCATGTTAATGATGCATGATCTATGTCATTCAGCACTATTCTTGCAACTAAACGTAGGTTTAGATGTGTAGCACAGAAACAAATAGCTAATAAAATAAAGAAGAGAAGAAAAGAGCCTTGCAAGCTTAATAAGAAGCTTTCTTATTACAAAAATGTTCTCTAAATGAGCCCTAACGCTTAACAAGAAGTTAGATTAGACTAAACACATCCCCAAATAATTACAAACATAAGGCCAAACAAGGGGAAATTGTTAAGCTAAGACCTTTCACCAAACATAACCACCCAAACAATAAAATTACAAAAATACCCTTGCTGTCTAGAGATGTAAGAAAGCCAAATAAGCCCTGTCCATCATCCATCTTGACCACAAAAAGCATCTTAAGGTGGATTGAAGATTCTACGATCTTCTCAAATTGATTCCACCACTAACCCAACTCCCATGTGGGCTCGTTGTCATTGTAATGATGCCAAATAAGCATAGGTACAGCTTTAGTTCCCTTTTAATATGCCTTAAGTTGATTCCCATCATCTCTCCTCAGCTCGGAAAAACTTGACCGTCGAGTAAAAAGAAAGGTACCTCTCATACATGATGCATATCACAACTTAGGCAGTGGAACTCATTGGTAGTGACCCAAGTGCAATCCGAGTGAGGATGACCTTTCCATTTGACAAGAAACTTGTGGTATCTGCCTTGTTTTGTTGAAACAATCTGATCATCAATAACATCTTCAATCTCTTCTTGGGAAGTGAGGGATGGTGGTAAGTGGGCTACAAGCTGGTCCATGTTGGTGGCATCACCATGATACAATGGTAAATCCTCCACATTGAATACATTAGAGCTGATTTTCTTCTTAATTTTAAAAGGACTTGGAATTTCTTGAGTGCAACTTCTTGTAAACTAAAATGTCCCTAATAAGTTGACCTCCAACAAAGAGTTGTAGCGACTACACCTTTCATACTGTAATGAGGAGTCTGGATTAGCTAAATGCTAATGGCTGTTAGTGGGCTGTGTGACCAATTGCACACCTCCACTTCATCATTACACATTCACCAGCACTCCCATGTGTGGAGTGCTCAAGCAGTCACTACAAATTTTGTTTTTCATCTTTTCTATTTTTGGGAGTTTATTTTCATCATCTCTCCTCTCTCTTCTCTACCTCCCTCTCCCATCGGTTGTGTTAACAGTCCTCCCAATCTCTCTCTCTCTCTCTCTCACATTTGCCATCTTGTGCTCTGATTTCTTCCACCATGAACCATGTTCACTCTAGCCCACACCACCACTGCAATTCCAGATCCTTCAAGTCAATTGTATGGATATGACAAGAGGCCACTCCTTTGAACACCTCAAAGATCAAACCATGGGTTCCATTTTAATTAATTAGAATCATGATTTAGAGTTTTAAAATATGATATCTAATATTTTCTTTGAAGAAGAAATCACAAACACTGATTTAGGAGAGAGCTCATCATTTAAAATTATTGGTGAGGGGAACCACAGACACTGATAAATTATCTTCAAAATTATGAGGAATGGAAATATGGTATTCTTGTCTTCCATGAAAAAAATCCATGGGAGCTCAGATTTTTTTTTTGGTTTATGAATCAAACTACAAAATTAATAAACAAAAAGATAAGATTCCCAACCAGTCTGTATTGTGCTTCTTTTGCTTTTTCCCAAGTTCCTTTTTAGGTTTTAGCTGTGGAAAGGCAAATGCAGAATATACAGTGTTCTTTGACCTTTTTTTTATCAATAACAGGAAGCATTTCATTAATAAAAGAGGTTAAAATACAAAGGAGGGGAGATAAAATATCTTTACTCCCCAAGGGATCAGAAATACATCTAAAAGAAGAGAAAATAGTTACAAATGAGCCCAGAAAATAGAATCCCTATGAACCCCTTGCCTAGCTAGTCCATTGGTGAAGGAATTGGCACTTTTCTTTACCCAAAAACATTTTATATCAATGTCCTTTGTCAACCATTTATACTTTCTCTTCTCATTGCTGTAGTTACAGAGACCAATCTTGTCTTCCTTTAACCAGCCCACTACTATCTCAGAATCTCCTTCTATGACCAGCTTACTGATATTCAGGTCCCTACTGCCTATCTCTTTTCACCCCTCCCAAGGCCACCATTACCTCAGTCCTAAGGGAATCTCCCACTCTAATTGGATCAGCTTGACGAAGCCATGAGGGGGAGGATTCCATAAGGGACTTGAGGTCATCTTAGTTGGGACTGTGTTCCTCTTTGATCTTAGGCCATGATCTGCTTGAGTCTTCAGCAAGGGCAACAAAGGAGGACATCCCGTCTCTCATTGTAGGCCTAACGCTTGGTTGTTAGCAAGGGCAAAGTGAAGTGCTGACATGGAAGCCATCACCACAGTTTCCTCTCTTTTGAAATGGACTGCAAGTTAGTAATCCACCATTTCCAGAACCGTCTTCAAGTCACTCAATAGTGGCCTAGCTATTGACATCAAGAGCTACTCTTTCTTGGAGCAAAAGGCTTTGATTGACATGATTAGTTCCAGAACAATCACACAAAAGCTATAAGCATTCTTTCAAAGATTCTCGTCCTTGGATAGTGAGGGTCAATGTAACTAGGTGAACCCATTACTGGGTTCATAGACAATGGATGAACTGAAGATGAAAAACCCATTTTTGTGAAACTGAAATGTTTGTTGGAGAGGATGTCGATGCTTTGACATTGCCTTGAAACTATTTGAACACCATGACTAATTGCTTTTTTTTTGATAAATCACCATGACTAGTTCTTCTACAACGAAACCAAACCAATAGGAGCGACTGGTGGGAGGGGGGAGGTAGAATGGAGAGACAAGAGAAAGGGGAAAGGGAGAGGTATTAGGGTTACAACTTACGAAGAGATTAAAATAGATTTTCATAGGAAAAAAAAGAAAACAAAATTTGTGGTCCCCTGAGTGACTATTAAAAGGGTTACACATGGGAATTCTGTGAAAAATAAATATAATGATTATATTGGGGGCATTTAAACTAGGGCACAGCAATCTAACATAGAATAAAACAATATGATATGAACAAGGCTAACATAGGACTGTATCCTGTATAGGGCTATAGTGGCTAAAATCTTCAGAGTTATTTCAGCAGTTTTCTTTTAATTACCTGTGAAGGCATTGGGTGAAAGTGGTTCTGTGGCTCTTCTATTTTCAGGCCCATTAAGTGAGGGGGACTCCACGAGGGCAGAACTATAAGCTGCACTACAAGGGGTACAGTTTGCTGTACAGATAGGAGTGGAGCAGCTACTAATAGAAGGTGATTCTAAGGTGGTTGTGGGGTGGTTACAGTATCCAGAGAGTGCAGTTTGGTGCTTCAGAAATGAACTTAAAATATTCAAATGCTTGACGAGAAACTTGTATGTTAGAATACAATGGGTAGGGAGATCTGCTAATGCTATGGCTGACTGTTTAGCCAAGCAAGGGGCAACGGGGGAACATTTGTATTGGGCTCAGCTGTAATCTGTTTTAGTATTTGGTGGGTTGGAGAGGTTGCAGCTCGTGCCTCTCCAAGTGTCTTCTGTAAAAGTTGCTCCTGATTTCTTTCTCTAATAAATTCTTCATTTATCAAAAAAAAACCAATATGATATGAAAAGACTAAAATATTCCTAGTCAAGGTACAAAGTATATATGCACCCGTTATGAGGGTGTTTCGATACTTGATAGCTTTTTTTTTAGTTTTTTTTCAACATTGCTTCAGGGAGTTGGTTTTAGGCATACCTCCTGAAAGTGCTCAAAATCTGAAACACCCCTTATTTTGGGTATTGGAGAGCTCCCAATAGATATGGTGATATCGGAATTTTGAACCTTGTACCTAACAAGTCGACCTCCAACAAAGAGTAATAGCGATTACAGCTTCTATACTGTAATGAGTATTTTTGCTTAGGATGTTACAAAGTTTGGAGTGATCAATTATACCTTCCATGCTGTAATGACTGTTATTTGTGCCTTTATGTAAACCATGCTTATTCTTGAGATGAAGACCCATGCCTGTGGCTTGTGGGGTGTCCATTCAATTCGTGTATTATAAGCTATTGACAGATTGATCAAACTTCATATAAACCATGGGCAGAAGGTGCATATGTCAAATATTTATGCGTGGTGGTGGTCCTGATGAAAACATTTTTTTCCTTTCAAATTTCTTTGGTTTGCACTTTTGTAAAATTCTTCTTTACGCAAAAAAGAAATTGTAAATTTCGAAGGCCACTTCTGTAGATTAAGCTTTTGCAGCTTCTCTATTATGTGGTCGAGATGAGGTGATTCTGAATTTATAATTTAGGATTATGATAGTTATTCTTGATGTTGGGAATCCCGTTATGGATACAATTTTCATTTTCTTCCCATTCTGTATACCTGAAGACTCAAATTTTGTCCAAGTTCTGATGCTCATTGCATTTTCTTTTCATGATTGGTTGGTTTCAGCTTCCTCGGATTCAAATCGGTGACCCAATAGCTAGATATTATGGATTGAAGCGTGGGCAAGTTGTGAAGATCATCCGGCCAAGTGAGACTGCAGGAAGATATGTCACTTATCGCTATGTCGTCTGAGAAGTTTGAGGATATTTTTAATTGTTCTTAAATACATCAAATCTTAAAGCAGCAGGCTTTCATATCCAAGAATAGAGAAATATGAAACCTATTTCCTAGGAATTTGTCTTCTCTGTTAGACGCACTTGAACATGCGATGGTGCAACCGTGCAATGCATCAAACAATTGTTTGGAACTTGGTGAGGCTTCTGAGTGCATCTTTCTGTTTGTAATTTCTTAGAGAGTGGAGCTTGGTTTCCTGAAAACAAAAAGAACAAAAGGATTTGGAACCAAGGTAACATTTCAATGCGAAATTATCATATCGTATTGGCAGGCCCGAAAATGGTTTCAGGAATTTTGATCTTTTAATGAAAATTTATGGTTTGCCCTATCTTGTAATTTTTTATTGGTTTTTTAGTTTTATTTTATCAAAACTTTGATACTCTTGTATTTTGGAATTCACATCTGTGTCCCACTGAGGGCACCCCACAAATGCCCCATAGCATATCCAACCGTGTATTGAGAATATCTCCCACTGACAATTGGGAGATGTTTCCAATGTACGCTGAGATGTGATCTCTCTGTATTTTGATACATTCCCCACCAGACGCTTATTGTTCCCAAGGCTTGGGACTGCAAATGTAACAAATGTTAATTCTTGTTTAATTTTGGATTTTATTTTATTCTGCTTCATGGCTTAATATACTTCATATGTACTACAATCAAACAAAATAAGTTAAAATTTAAAATAAAAATAGGTTAAAATTTACACTCAAATCATTTTCATTGTCACAGTTTTGTATCAGTGCAAATTTATTTGCATTGCAACCAAACGCAGTCAAAGGATTGAAAGATATAGCGTCCGAAATTTACCACTAATCAATTGAGATCATAAAAGAGGTGATCAAGCTGGTGCTATTAATCAAAATGGTGCTTTGATTGGTCAAAGCTTCTCTAGTATCATTAATTTTCCCCTATTTCAAACGGTAGGAACCAATAATATAGGTGGGGAATCAATGAAACTTTTTTTTTTAATATAATTTTTTTTTTCAAGGGGCCACACAACGCGGTTAACCCATCCCCCAAACCCATCCAAACTGAATGTGATTTGGATGGATTGGACGGTTCAAAAGATTCTATTGAATCGGACCTGTGGACTCGTGTAGACAGACTCCGGGAGAACGGGAACCGTTGTATTAGCATAATTGCATGGGCACATGTCCAAATCCCAACTCTCTTGCTAATCCCAAATCTAACAAATTGTCAAATTTAGAATCGCCTTCCATTGCCCAGGAAACCTCTATAAATTGAAAGCCTCTGAAGTTTCCGAAAATCTTAGCCTCCTTTGCTCTTTTACACATCGCCCATCCACTGTGTCTTGATCTTGCCACAGGTCGTGTTTATATCTCTCATGGCACGTCACCTTTGTTGAAGGTGACTTTTTATTTGAGCTATTCCCCCTTTTAGTACATCTCGGATCGCTTCTTCTGTTAGACAGTTGTATGTCCTTAGTTCCAATCAGAAATATGTACATTATGAATTTATTGTAAATGAATAAAGTATACATTTGATTCATGTTCATATGGTGTGTTTCTGTGTAATATTCTTAAACTAGACACTTAATGAGACTTGTGTTAGTTTAGAATATTCACAGCCATTGGGTAAGTCTGGAGAGATTTATCCTACCAAAGCTGACACTGGTGTGCTGCCAATTGTTGGGGTGGCTCGTCTTAGCTACCAGGGTGAGACCCGAAGCACATGCAGTGTAGGATTAATAGAACCTTTGAACCGGACCAGATTTCCAGTATTGCCCAGGACCTTGGAGATAGATGGGCAAAACTGGAAAGTTACACCTGACCCCTAGACTCGATTATGATACTACACTAGGTGTCGGATTGGGCTATCTTTGATGTACCAATCAGTGAGATCCTTAGCGGGGGTCAAAACCTGGGTATGTTGGGACAGATTGAGAATTCATCTGATTGGGTGATCATAGTTACAGGATCAGCCCCTTTGCCGGACAAAGGTAATGATCGGGGATGCACTCTCTCTGATGGAAACCAAGACTGCCGGTAGCCGATTTCAATTGTTGAGATTTTGTTTTGCAAAATATATTTATATAAAGATATATATATATATGTTATGGTTTCGAAATGATTTGCAAAAGGTTTTAATTCCCGGGATCCATGTAAGCAGAGAGTGCAACACTGTTCCTTGTAGTCGAGGGAGAGGTCCTCCCTTGTTGGGCAGTGTTTGATCATTATGGGCTGAGAGGTTAAGTATAAGACCATTGAGGATAATACCTGATGAGCTAATCTTGCATCTGCCCACAGTCCCTGGGTGTTACAAGGTGACTTGGCCTAGGGACCACTTAGGGTAAGTGTTGGGCCCATAGAGCCCATAAGATGAGTTTCAGGGGGTGCACTGTCCATAATAGCGTATTCAGCCAGGCCTTGTAACAAAGGCTGGGCTGAACCCATGTGGCTGATGTGTAGATCAAGTTTGGGTCCCACGCCATACAAGAAAGCCCAACTGGGTAGCAGTTTGGAAGGCTAAGTGAGTACATAACCTTAAATGGGCCTTAAGCCCATTTCGAACTGGGTTGATTTGATCAGCAAATTAAAGGGGGCGAGTTCTGAGATGGATCAGCTGATAGGATTGGGCCTAGACCCTATCCACTTAGAGAGTCCAAGATCTAAATAAGATTTAGATCTGGAAGCCTCCTAATTAGATTAGGAGATGGCTGATCTGATCTGTAGATAAGATAAGGGTTYTCCCTTATCACTTAAAGGGACTTCTAATCCAAATATATATTGGATCAGCAGCTCCTAATGATTAGGAGCTGATCCCTTTAAATCTATGAAAGGAGGAGGAGGCGGCAGCCTTTAGAGATTGATGTTCAATTCTCTTCAGAACTGAAATCACAAGAAGAGAGAATTCTGCACCCTGCGAATACTCTCTTGCCGCCTCCTTCCTGCAGCCGCCACCTCTAGTAGTTCGATCTCCTACTCTCTACAGGAGTAATCAAGATTTGATCTTGATACCAATCTTTTGGGGAAAAGTTTGATTGGAGCTGTATTCACAAGCCATACTGTTGATTCTTGCGAAGGGTCAAGTTCTTTTGGAAGAACATTGCTGATTCTGCTCCATCCTGCACTGTGCCATCTTAAAAGATAAGAGTTAGGAGGAAACGAAAATGCCCATACAGTCCATAGCCCAAAAATCATGTTTTACGTAGGCTGTCAAGTCTTAAAATTGAAAATTGGTGCCTGAGCCATGTCTTCTGAGTTCAGTGCACTCATTCGCAATGACACTTGCCACCTGGTCATTGCTTTCCTACAAATCAGGTAGGGATGTGGTTTTCTGCAAACGAATTTATTGCCTTAAGCATGGTGTTGACTATGATGAGACATTTAGTCCAGTTGTCACATGCACCACCATTTATTGTGTTCTCTCTATTGCTTTGCAACACGATTGGCCAGTTCAACAACTCAATGTGAATAATGCTTTTATCCATGGATATTTCTCTAAAGAAGTTTATATTTAACAACCTGAAATGCTTGTTAACCCTCAATTTTTATCATACATTTGTTGCCTACATAAAATTTAACATAGGGCTTAAACAGGCTATGTGGGCTTGGTTTCTAAATTGGCACAATTTCTTTTATCTCTTGGGTTCATGGCTTCTGCTTTTGATCCATCTTATCTATTTACAAGCATCACAACCACTTGGTTTATTTACTCATATGTTGATGATATTTTACTCATTGGAAGTAATAGTAGTCTCATTTTATGTGTTGTTTCTTCATTGGCACAAGAGTTTTCTATTAAACATCTCAACACTCTCCACTACTTCCTAGGGATATTGGCTAAGCGTATTCCTCATAGATTGCTTCTGTCTCAATGCTAGTTTCTTTTGGATCTTCTCAAGCAGACTGATTTGTTGCATGCTAAGACTCCCACTACACATTTGGCACCCAACACTCTCTCAAAGGAATCTGGCACACCACTCTTAGATTCTACACTTTCTTCATTGCCATACTAATGCATACATGGTTGCAGTCAAAAGGATATTACAATACTTCAAGGGTATTCTTGATTTTTGTCTTCCCTTTATTCGAGGTTCCTCTTTGCAGGTGATGGCCTACATTGATGCTGACTAGGCCCATTGTATTGAGGATCACCAATCGACAAGTGCTTATGCTATTTATCTTGGCTCTAATTTGGTTTCATGGGCTTCAAAGTAGTTTACTATTGTTCTCTTCAGTACTGAATTTGAATTAGGGTCTCTTGTTGGTGCCACCGCTGAACTTGTATGGATTTAGGCTTTATTACAAGAACTTGGGTTCACTTTTCTCCATTGGTATTGTACTTTGATAACATTAATACCACATATCTTGCTGCCAATCCTATCTATTGTGTCTGGATAAAGCATGTCGAGGTTTATTTCCATTTCATATAAGACCAATTTACCCACAAATGATGTTCAACATCTCTGCTCTGCTGATCAACTTGTAGGTGTTCTTATCAAACCTCTATCTTGTAGTTGCTTCCCTGGTGTAGGTGGGATTTGATTCCAAGTCTCCGCTACAACCAATAGAGGCGTTAATGTTGAGGTTCCTTCCTTGTGAGGTGGGACCCGCTAATAAAGACAAAAGAAAAGGTAAAGAAGAAAAAACAAAAAAGGTTGGAATGCAAAAAGGATTTTTGCATTGGCTTGCAAGGCAAACCAACATGTTTTTGGCTACCCAACGAATTGGGATAACTCATTCTCTCTCAATTCTAACAGCTCTCTAAAGAAAAACATTAGAGAAAGAAAAATGGTTACTTTTGATAAGAAGGTTTTTAGGAAGAAGAAGAAGGCTTAAGGGTTGGAATGAAGAAGATAAATCTGTTTTTAGCATCTGTTCTTACTTCCTTGTTGTGCTTCCACTCTTGGTGAGGAATTTCTTATTTTCTATTCATTTTTGTTTATATTGTTTGTTGTTAGAATCCAAGAGTTTTCTTAATGTTCATCATCTATTTGTAATTAGATAGACAAACATTGTATCCCATTATTATTAATGATATTGGATGGTTTGAACTTCAGTTCCTTGATTTTTACCCTTACATTAAGGGGTTTTCCACGTAAATCTTGGTGTTTACTACTATTGCTTGCTTTGTGTTTGATTATATGCCTCTATTACTGCATGCTTACTATTTGTTGTTAAAAGCTCTTTGATTTCCACAAAGAATATATAAGGATTTACTTCCAACAAATTGGTATCGGAGCAAGGTTAGTTTTTGTGTAAATCATGGAAGGAGACTCGGTTAAAATGATTTTGTTAAATGGAAAGATTGGTTTCTCTAGAAACCAAAAATGAAGGACTTATTGCATTCCAAAGACTTGTGTGCACCTAAGAGA